AAAGAAAATGATAATCTTAATCTAACGCGTGGGTAGGCGTTTGATGCGGTTATCTTTTATTCATGCGAAAAAGAAGTTATCCCTGGGGAATGATTGCTACTAGAGGAGCGGTGTCAGGTAGTAATTCCACGAACCTCTGGCAGAGGATAACAGTTATTGATTGTAAGAAAATTCTAGTACGTCGTGTTTGTGTATTGGCGTTGATTGTAAACAAAATGGAATCAGGAGTTTCACATATGCAAAATGTTGTTATGGAATTTTAAACACTGTTGTTGAATGTTGCATCAGAATGACTGTTGAATTCGGAAACAATGAAATAGTACGTATATTCCAAAAATGTTTACGCAATTGATATTGATTAATCTAAATTTGTTTACGCTTTTACAGGATGTTTGAGAAACACTGGGCAAACATTCGGATCATTACGTCAGTTTCTCCTCTGATACCTTTCGGGATAGCGCTTCTTTTCCTGGTAAAAACGTTTTTTCTCAAATAACCAGCATCGCATATTCTAACATCTATTATCGTGTTCTACCTAAAGATAGCCAACCATATATTCCGACGTCGGCGGATGTATCTGAAAGACACCAGCACCATCTATGAGACACTGGCTTAACAACGAAATTAATTTATAAATCTACCTTTCGTAGATATCGCTAGGATCTACTTGACGGTTCCAATGCCTATTTTACTTGGGTATCCTCAGCTGGGATACGCTAAGCAATGTCTGAAAATACCCAACTGAAATAGGCATCAGCGAGGCCAAAAGGAGATTGAAGATCCTAGCGCCATCTATGACACAGTAGCAGTAGCACAGTTTAACGCATCCCAATGTATTATCATTGATAGCGTGCATTGATGATTTTGATGAATTTTTTTAAAAATAGTTACAAGTTGAACCGTGATGAGAAAAACAATGCTTTTAGATTGAATTGCCTAATGCAATATTGTTAAATTTGCTTGCATCCTGTATTCTGCTTGTTCAGAAATGTTATTTTGAAATGACTCACACTATAACTCTAAAAATACATTCTTGTTTTATTTTCATTAAATGAAAAGTTTCGGGAGTTCTTTGTGACGCAGATTATGAGTATGTTATTTATTAACTATATTTTACTTACCACGCCAATGGGCGAGTATGCATTTTTATTCCGAAAAATTTCCAATATGAGCCATCATAGTTTTTGATCCAGCCATCTTCATCGATCTCTCTGCTAATTTTTGGCCCTCTTACGGTTTGTAAAATTACATGACAGCTGGCATTGACCATCTTTAGACATGTTGTGTCTAAAAAATTGTAGGTGGGGTAAGGATGGTATGATTCAATTTTCTATCATTAACATACTTATACGCTTCTGAAACCGGCAACCCGGTAGTTATACGCACCTATCAAGTATATTGCAAACACGTTTACGATATACGAGCCCCTTCCCACTTCAGTTGGCCCAACTATTGAAATCTTAGTTTTTTTATTATCAAACAAATAATAAAAATGTAGCAGGGTGTTATAGGTTTAAAATATTAACAATGAATATTTTGATAATAATGGGTGATTTTCATGCTAGTATCTTTTTGGCAACACTATTTTTGACAGATGACGCGTGAATCGTGTCTTGTGAGGGAGCTATTCGGAAGCTTGTGACTAAATTTCGAACCCAGTTTACATTATTGGACATTAAACCACCAATACGCAGACGTAGAGTGAGGACTGAAAAAAATAGTGCGGCTGTATCCGCCAGTGTTAGTGATGACCGTGAAATGTCGATTCGCCGCCGTTCACAGCAATTGGGCCTCTGTTACTCCACTACGTGGAAAATTTTGCGACAGGATTTGGGTGTAAAACCTTATAAGATACAGCTGGTGCAAGAATTGAAGCCACACGACCTCCCACAACGTTTCCAATTTGGTGAATGGGCGCTGGCAAAGTTGGAGGAAGGTCCACATTTTTATCGAAAAATTGTGTTCAGCGACGAAGCTCATTTCTCGTTGAATGGGTACGTTAACAAGCAAAATTGCCGCATCTGGAGTGAAGACCAGCCAGAAGCATTGCAAGAGCTACCAATGCATCCCGAAAAAGTCAGTGTTTGGTGTGGATTATGGGCCGGTGGCATCATCGGGCCGTACTTCTTCAAAGACGACAATGGCCGGAACGTAACTGTGAATGGCGAGCGCTACCGTGCGATAATACCAAACCTTTTTTTGCCCAAAATGGAAGAGCTGGACTTGGCTGACATGTGGCTTCAACAAGACGGTGCCACATGCCACACCGCACACGTAACAATGGCACTATTGAGAGGCGAGTTCGATGAACAGTTTATCTCACGTTTGGGACCCGTCAATTGGCCGCTTAGATCGTGTGATTTAACGCCGTTGGACTATTTCTTGTGGGGCGATGTTAAGGCTAATGTCTACAGGGATAAACCAGCAACGATTGACGCACTGGAAACCAATATTGAAGCATTTATTAGTGAGATACCGGCCGATATGTTGGAGAGAGTGTGCCAAAATTGGACCTTGCGCATGGGCCATCTAAAGCGGAGCCGCGGCCAACATTTACATGAAATAATCTTTAAACATTAAATTATATCGGCCGTTCTATCGACTCAAATAAAGACTTAATCGTTTTTTCTAATTTTTTGTGTTTTTTTTTTGAAAATCAAATCCTATACCTCTTAAAAAATCACCCGTTATATAGTAGAAAACACCAACTTTATCACTACCTAATCAAATTTGCAGCATAAAAATAACACATGTTGCAATTACAGCATATCAACTTATTTTCATTTCAATGCAAAATAAGTCTATAACGCATAGGTGGCTGTGAAAAATAAAAGCAATGACAATTGTTTTTATTAATCACAGCTGCCAGAATACGTTTAAAATAGTTTTGGGTAGTTAAGGTTTCCAAAATGGGTAAAGGAAAGGTTATTAGTGAGAAAATTCGTTTACTGATAATTAATTTTTTTAATTCTGGGAAATCAAACTCAGAAATTGCAACTTTGTTAGACTTATCGCGAAACAGTGTGAGAGATATTGTTAGAAGATATAACGTAACTGGTTCAGTTAATATTAAGTCACGATATGTGAAAAAAAGTAATATCACAAATGCCGACCGACGAGCATTAAGAAGAATAATCGTGGAAAACGGGCGTGCCAATTATCTACAATTAGTGCTCTGTGGAGTGACGCTAATGGAAGGAGAATTTCGAGGTCCAGAACTCATAGAGAGACCCACAAACTGGGATTTAGCACTTGCAAGGTAAGTTTTCTTATAAAAAAAAGTGAAGTAAAAAGCCTAAAGTTGCACAACTTGTTTATAGGCCAAAGAAAAGCCACTATTAACTCCACTGCAAAAGAAAAATCGACTTAGATAGGCTAAGGAACATAGACAATGGACACCTCAACAATGGTGTGCAATACAATGAAGTGATGAGGTCCGATTCGAAGTTTGTGTTGGTGACAGTCGCAGTAGAGTTATTCGCAAAAAAATTAAGCATTCCATGTTGACTGTCTGAAGAGAAAAGTGAAATTTCCAGCATCCAGTATGGTCTGGGGCAGTATGTCATCAAAAGGAGTAGGAAAACTTCATTTTATTGATGGAAATGTGGATACAAACAAATATTTGGCAATATTAGAAGAATCGCTTTTATTAGTAATGGAAGAATGTTTGACATCCGGCCAAGATTTTGTGTTTCAGCAAGATGGTGCAGCGTGCCATACCTCAAAAAAGGCTATAAAATGGATGGAAGAAAATAATATACCACTTTTGAAATGGGTGTCTAGCAGTCCAGATCTCTCACCTATTGAAACTTTGTGGCACGAGGTGGAAAAGGTTCTACGACAACATCCTGCTCGTACAATCACCGAACTGAGACAAAAGCTTCAAGAAATATGGGATTGTTTTACACCAAATATTTGTCAAAAATTGGTTAACACTATGCCCCAAAGAATTTCAGCAGTAATAAAAAATAAAGGTGCTGTTACCCAATGGTAATATAATTTGTTCAGATGTTCTACTAGTTATAGATCCAAGTGACTTCGAATATGTATTTTTTACGACTAAAGTGTATCTAAAATGTTTTTGAGAAAATAAATTGTTTTAGAAGTAAATAGTTTCGTCATGTTTAGTTTATAAATGCATATTTTGGTACAAATCTTGAAGTGAGCCAACTGAAGTGGGAAGGGGCTCGTATTTGTCCTCAAAACAGATTGAGAGATATTATCGATGCCTGCATCAAGCACAAGAAATAGATCAACCTGTAATGAAGTAGCCGATTCCGCTGAGCTTCAAAAGCAACATGGTATTATCTTGTGTTTGTTAAAATAAAATTAAAGCCAATAAATTTTGTGCCAAAACTTTTTGTGCTGAACTTGAATTTTGTCTGGGAGATTGGACTCTAGATATAAACTGCAGCTTCATAGATTTTTGTGGTAAAGGAATGAAGCAAGAAATTTTTGTTTCAACTGAAAACTTATGCTTCCTACAAATGTCGTTGTGAGCCACTATTTTACAGAATATAAAAATGGCAACTGGCTTGATGCTGACAAAATGTCGCTGAATCGTACAGTTCTGTTGAGGTCTATATTTTCAATAACGTCATTTACCGACTGTATCTCCCAAATGAGGTACTATTGCGGAAATCGTCAGAGGGCATGGGTTAAAAGCTCGCGCCCTGATTTTACGAACGTTATGAAAACAAGATTTTGTAGTTTTAGAAGCATTAAGCATTGATTGTATCATCTCTCTTCTACGATTATATGTAGTAATAACTTCCAGGTCCTTTGACAGAGACAAACTCGCTCGAAATTTGACGATACCATTGTGATGACTTACGATCGTCCCACATGTCATCTCTAAGAGTACCTATTAACAAAAGGAGCAGGACAGTAACTTCGGAACGTTCACGATGGGACCCTTTTGGCCGTAAAAATTCGAAAGTCATCTAACAACCCATTGTAAAACGCAAAAATGTTGCTTCAGAGTTTCAAATTAAATTTATCTAAAAGTACTCACCGTTGTACAAGATGGTAGTCCCCCCGCCCCCATGATGGTGTGGTGATGTGGGCGGTGGCGATGGCGCCGTGGCCCCCTCAGTCGGACTGGACGGACCCCAGCAGGTGGCCGGTGCCGGCACATCCCCCACCACATCTATTTCCTCGTCTTCCTCCGTAGGGGCCTGTTGAGGTGCAGGGGAAGTGTTCCTACCACCCCCGCCGCCCGCCCCTGACCCTCGTTCAGGCCAGGCGTACGCCTTGAATTTCTTTGCCATCAGGCAACGCGGCATCGCGGATGGTGGGCAAGTGTGGTGGTCAGCGAAGAAGCATAATCTGGAACAAACGGTAGCGTGAGATAAATATTTCAGATTGGGGAGTGTATTCTGATGCATTAGATATTGCTGGGTGATTTTATGTTGACAATGACATGTTGTAAAATTTAACGTCCATCGTGCGGAAAACTGACACTTTCCAAACTGAAATGAGTGCGGACACTTTCAGCACGCTGTTAGAAAATAGTTTACCTAATAAATGCGGAAGGTGACACTTCCACCATCAAGGGTGGAAAATACAATAAAGTGTTAGGTATAAGATTTTTTTGCAACGCGAGAAAATAATAAACCCAGAATTGTGCTGTTTTATTAGAAATTTAATAATTGTAAAATTAACATCATGAACAACAACGTCAATAATTCATTTATAATAATTATATAACAATATTAGAAGTATATATACGTAACTTAACAAATCATTTCTGTTGAATGAAAATAAGTACACCTAGATAAATCTATGTTGGAAGAATAATAATAATGTCTTTATTAATCCCTCCACACTGCGAGGCGAAGTTTAGCCAGCTGGCTACTCTACCACTTAACCTCACAAGAAGTGCAGTGGTTGAATATAAAAAATTTCATATCATATTTGGTTCTTATTTTTATATTTAAAATAAAAAATCATCTTCTGCCACAACATTTAGGACACTACATAGAATAGAATAATCATTACCAAAATTATTATACAAGAGGAAATTTTAAAAATTGCAATAGTATAATAATATAACTAGCAAGTCAATATTTCAAAAGTGATTACTTGAATTTAATAAATTGAGTAATTATATAAAGTCTACTTGTAATTTAAAGATGTTTAAAAGGAAATTAAAGGAACATTTCATGAAAATTGCCTCCAAAGGTGTTCTCCGATAATCATTTTCTTAGTGGATCTGATAAGAACGAGTTTTGGGCTTACGAAATTTTTTAAAAAAATCTTTTTTTTCTCGAATCCATACGTTTCACAGATCGATAAAAAAGCAAGGTTCTGTAGCATATAACAATGTAGCATCGGTAATTTTCTCAATTTTTTTTGAGCAAAATTGCGCCCGTAAAAGGTTATTCAATTTAACATGAATAATGCGTGCGGAAAAGCTATGCACGCGGAAAAGTGCTACTTTTTGCATGCAGATGCGTGTTGAAAGTGCGTACACGCACGGCTTGTGAATGATTGACGTCCTGAATATCACATTCCGTAAAAACACTTTAGTAGGTACTGATCGTGGGACATGTGCCTAACGGTATCGCATATTATGTTACTGATGGGGACTCATAGGGACAGTGGCCGCTTGAAGTTTTGGATTACATGTTTCGAACATTTTATGTGGTATCGGCATAATCATGTGACCTATTTGTAGCCACAGTCTGCAGGAGTAGCCACACTCGTAACTTGTGGACTTGCAATACAGAACTGATCACGCACTAATGTGTGCCAACCTCAAATGTCATGGTTTTGATAAAATAGCGGAGTACGTCGCAATTTCGGGAGTTTCGTCAAATGAGCACTTTATTACTTTTGGTGTGCCTCAGGGCTTAATCTTAGGTCCTTTGTTATTTTTAATTTATATGGCCGATACTGCAAAGCCCATTAAAAATTCACAGCTACAGTCATATGCGGACGACACTCAACCGCTTTACTTCTTTTGACTCTATTTGCACCTACTCAGCCCATAACAACCTAAGCATTAATGCTTCCAAATATTCTGCTGTGCTGTTCTGTCCAAAACACAGAAGAGATGTAGTCAAAGTTTCTTTGAGCATATGTGTTTATATTCAGAATCTTCCTTTTTCCTTCGTGATTACTTGAATAACATCTTACAAAGAACTCAGATCCGCCTAAGAAACCTATATGTGAATAGAAATTTGCTGAACTTGAAAGTGCGAAGAAGTTTGTGTGTTAATCTTTCTTGCTATCAACTTTCAATTATTGCAATCTCCTTTATTATCTTTGTTCAGATATTGCGAGTTGTAATAGAATATCTGTTGTATAAAATAACTGCATACGTTTCATATTTAGTTCAAGAAAACTTGACCATCTTTGGGATCGTCACCCTTTAATTGGTTAAAGACGAAAGATCTCGTATCATCCAACTACCTAGCCTTTATACGTAAGCTACTGATCTCGTTAAGTCCAGTTTACTTACATAACAAGATAATTTTTAGTTACAATGTTCATCAGCGACCTATCCGTAATACATCTTCATTTACAATGCCCCTTCATGGTTCATCTCTTTTTAAACGGTCATTCTCATACAAAGCGTGCGAGTAGTAGCCTCTTAGACTATAGAACAAAAAGTTTTAGAGGACATCTAAAAGCTCTTCTGCTTAATGATGCTTTTTAAGGGTGTTTTTCTTCAGCATTATACTTTTCTACTAAGATACGTTTAGGTAGTGTTCAGTTTCTTGTGTCTATGTGTGTGTGACTATGTGGATTTGTCTAGCTACTACTTGTTGCGAATTGGTGTTATGGCCGGTTTCTGCGGCTAGTGGTTCTACTTAGTAATCGGTAGTGTCAACTTGTGGTCACCATCGGTAGACTAGTGTGTGGCAGCTCTTAAGTGTCTACTATTAGCATATGACTTCAAAGCCTATATACAGGGTGTAAAGTTAGTGGTGGATCAACGGAAGTCAGATGATAGAGGGATTAATGAACTTTCAATCGCAATTACAACTGGGTTTAGGGCTGTGATTTTTTTCTGAAATGAGCTTAATGATTAGTTTTAGCAATGGCTATGTCACTTTTTAACAGAGCTATTTAGAAATCAACGCAAAAAATCTTAAATTGATTTTTTTCTGAAAAATCTCTTCCATGCTCAACTTTGAAGCGCGGTGAAAAAAGCGTGTAGAAACTATTTCAATCCATGTAGAATAAACCTTGCAAATTTCAGCTTTCTACGGTGAGAGTATCATGTCACATTCGTTCTTGTGATGCGATAAGCGTAACAAACACAATAGAACCCTTGCCACCTACAAGTACAGAAGCTAAGATAATTTAATTTAACTAACTTTTAAAAAACGTTTTCGAAATAGCCTCCATTATTTTCCATACACCAGCGACACCTTCTAATAAAATTTTCCTTTAGTCTTTGAAATTGAAAAATTTGCGTTTTCTATAATCTCTATTTTTGCTTCATTAATTTTCTGGCGCAGTTGGTTGGCATTTTTATATTCAGATATATAGGTTATCCCCTTATAAAACCCCATATAAAAAAATCTAGAGGAGATAAATCTCATGATCTTGCACCTTCTCAACATATTCTCACAAAATTCAACCCGTTGTGCACAGTCGCTTGGAAGCAAATTTTGTACCTTTTGTACATGGTAAAGATGCCTCTGGTGGTTATACATGGATCTCTCTCGGCTGCCTCTATTTATCCTCTATTTCTTCTGGACGTATCCTCGGCACTCCGAGCTAACTCGATGAGTGCCTAGTATGCGACCCTTCATATACGCATTATGGACGCGTAGAAAAACGCGGTAGTCGGAATATACCGCCGGTTGTGGCCCACCTCTTCTAACCACATACTCCCGATACATGCGAGCAGCTGCTCGAGCATTTCCTAGGGCAGCACCATAATATTAATGCATTTCTGCATAATCTCTCGGAGAATATGACATAATTCTACTCAGATGCCAAACGTTACATACAAATTCCGCGCTGGACCATTGCCTGACTTATTAATTTCGGTCGGACCGAAGATTGAACGCTCCCACACCTGGAATGGCGAGTTGAATGCCAAAGCTCATTAATCTGACTTGGCGATTTGCGTAAAAAATCCGCCATTTTGATTTTACAAAATGTTAATACACGCAGTATTGCTCGCACTGCTAGGACGAATCTAACAGTACGTCATATGTCAAAATCCATTGAGTCGTTCGGACTTTAGCTCGTAAGATAGAATTTTTTGTTTACATGTATAGATACCCACCTGCGTCTAACATACAGATTTTTTATGGTGTGGCTTACGTAGCAAGCTGAAGTTTTCAGGGTTTGTTCTACATGAATTGAAATAGTTTTTACAATGAAATGAATAATGAAATACAACCTTAATTTTTTTACCGCCCTCCAAAGTTGAGAGATGGCTCTGTTAAATAGTGATATAACCATTGCTAAGTCTAACCAATTTGGCTCATTACAAAAAAAAAATTAATAGCCCTAAACCTAATGGTTCAGATGTAATTGCGATTGAAAGTTCATTATCCAGTTTTTTTTTTGGAATTTCACAAAATTGCAAATATCTCCTGAACTAAAAGATTTCGGACCACACATTATAGAGGTTCATTCGAGATGTTTGAGGCCTTCTATCACCTGACTTCCATTGATCCACTACTAACTTTACACCGTGTATATAACAGGAGTGTCAATGAGCAAGACTCGCGAGGAGAAAAAATTCGTAGAAAATGGAAAACATTGCAAAAATACTGGCTTCTTTAATTTTGTGATATGTCCTGGCAACCAGTACTCTAATAACAAAAACCAAGAACAGCTATATGATCCTCTTGAAATAATAATAACAATTAACAACTTTTTTATTTGTAATAATATTACACCATATCTATTCTGCCACCTAGCGAAATATCAGCGTAACTCGAAAAGAAAGGTGGATGAAAAACTAGGCATAAGTATTTTTAAGCATTTTGAGTCATCAGAGTTGCCTGGAATCTTAGATTCATTATGGCAAATTTTCTACTTATTTCACTTTTGCTTTGCTATCAGATATTACCACATTCCATCTAATCTGTTATTTCAAATGAGGTGACTCTGATGCCCTGTACTTATTTAGCCTATTGCTGAGGAACTCCATCTACGATTTAAATTATATTTTTAATTTTCTATTAACATTTTTAGTTCTTAGAAGCGTTCCTATCCTATTTCGATTTGTACACACATATTTTTTAATAAAAAAGAATGAATCCACATTCGACAAAGATTAGCATTAATTGAAGAATATTTCCAACTGAAC